GTATACCTCACAACAGTCAACACAGAGTCTCAGTTGAGTATTAGAATATCTTATCTATATTTTAAGAACTAAATACAGCTGTTAAATGGGGGAATAAAATTTATCACTAGGTTGATAATTCTGTTACTATTTTCTCTACAAGTTGGATTTTTGAGTTGCCTTCTTCATGTTTATGAAATTGTGTGTGTGTTAGTGTTATTTTTTGTGTGTGAACCCATTGCATATTTTGAATCTTTCTTTGTTAGAATAGGTGTATGTAATATTCATTTATTGTCTGATTATATCCTATCCCCTACCTTTCTAATAGTAATCTCTTAGAGGTATATTCTTAAATTCTTATTTAGAGGTATATTCTTAAATTCTTACTCTCTTATAACTCTCATGCAAATAGAGAGTTTTTCCAAACTATGTGTCTAGTCCCATGGTTTTATTTGGCGGATACCTGTTCTCCTCCAACTGAATTTACTCAAATGTGTGTCTCTGTGTATATACAGCGTGTGACAGGCAATGATTTTTCTATCTTGTTCTTAAAGTGGAATGTACAATTTGTAGTTCCATAAAAAGATTGCTCAGTTGGTAAGGAGATACTCTGTTCTGTATAGACACAGACTTCTTAGAATATCTCTGTCCCAGGAAGAAGTCACAAGGAAATTAATGGCCTGCTTTTCCTATACCAAGAACATTGATTTCCTTTTGTTTCTAAGGAAAATCATTGAGGGTACTCATTGCTGTGTGATGAATGGCACTGTAAAAACACTTTGGGGTTTCAGAAGGGGAAACACTGGTTAAAAAATTATTTATTCCACGCAGTCAAATTTTATTTGCTGAAAACCATATTTAGTTTTGGAATGCCGTCTATTTTTACTTTCCTTTAACTTAATCCACATGAGTGTTTTAACATGCCATCTAAAACTCAATAAGCAGAAGAGGGCATAGAATTGTATTTTTATTTGCTGATTTACCTTACACTTAGTCCTATAATCTGGATTTACCAAGTATAACCTAGGAAGTTATCTCCTGAATTATATAATTTACCCCTCTACTGTCTAGCATAACTTGCATTTCAATGTCTGGGATTTGAAGAAAAAAATTGAGTGGGATGGTGAGTCTATCAAGATAATTGCTAAAAATTTTAAAGAAGACTCTACATGGATGTCTTGGAATCATATTTTAAGTGAGCACAGTGAGAACCTGTTTCTCTCTTGTGGTTAATTCAGGTCTTTCTATTTTTAAAGTAACCTTCCCATACGGTACCTCCATAAAGAGCTAAGTATATTCCACATTGATCTATACATAATTTGAGCTTACTTTTCAATGTACAACATAGTGGTAAATTCAGACTTAATACTACTGACTTTTCAGTTTATTTTAGTAGGATGGGCCACTATATTCTACTAGAATTGCAGTATTGTGTTAATGTATGCATCAAACTATATACACTATTATATTCTTGGCACATTGTATTAATTATGGAAATCACTTTCATTTTAATAGTGGAATTTACATGACAACAGCGTCTCTGGCTCAGTGGAGCATCGAACCAGCATGTCACAGAATTCCCTTGTAGTGTGTGCATTGACAGGGTTTCGTTGACATGAAATTTGTACTAAAAATGTCTCATAAATGTGTATCCACGTAGACCATTACTTAGAAGGGATCACCTCAGTCATAACATAGGTCATTAATGTCAGTAAAGGACATTTTCCTCACACATTAGTGAAATAAGTTATTAGGAATATATAATTATATATTTATAAATGACCTAGAAGTTGTTTTAAATATTTAGAAAAGAAAGACAGATATAAAACTATTAGCTTTGTGTTTTCTCATGGCTGTGTAAAGTTTGTCTTCTAATAAAGTCCTATATAAATGTTGGATAAAGACTCTAAATCAGGCAAGTGAATGGATTGGGTCAGAGAGGTGGTAATGAGGAATGAACACAAGAAAAAACAGTTAGAAAATACCATGGCAAAGTTCTTAACAGAGAAAACTATTTGACTATACAGTCCTATTTGAAATGTACTAGAAGTAGTTATTACTTGAGCCTTTTAAAATCACACTGGACTGAAGTGTTCCAAAATGCTGTATGCGAGGGGCCAAAACTATGTAAGCTTTGGAGGAAAGGGGGTGACCTAATAGTTTCTACAGTCTCCATGATTGCTATGATTGTGCTCATTTTATGTGTTCAGTCGTGGTGGATAATCTTCTATCATTTTATGCTACTTCTTGGGAAAAATTTTCACAAATTCATCTAATGCACAATTGGGTACATTTAACAGAATCTCAGAAGAGATGAAATTGTACTATAAACTCAGAGTAAAATAGCAATGTGGCACCTGTGAGCAACAATGACTCCTTTTTTGGGAGTTACCTCTGGAGCAAACAATTCTAATCTTAGACGTCCGACCACACTCTGACACACTTCGATGCATCCAGTCCATTTTCAATGGAAATTAGATATTAATTTTCATTTCTTTAATGCTGTCTTGGGATGATTTTGAGTGCAGGATAACGTGCTGAAAAAAGCCATCCCCTGGCCAGTAGGGTATATTTTGGCAGCAGTTAGCCATTACTCTAAGGGAAAAAATCATGCACCATTTTGTAAATGATACCTATTAGAGGAATGGACAGAAAGGACAAAATAGTTTAATTTGGAAAAAAAAAGTTTGGCATAAAATCAGAAAAAGAGTTACCTAGGGAAGTTGTAAAAATGTTATTGCAAGAAATCTCTCAAAATTAAGACTAACCTCAATCTTCTGTGCATCTTTCATGAAGTAAAGAAGTGAGGCAGGTCATGTTCTGACAATTATCCTAGTTCTTTCATTCAAAACCAATATTAATTTAAACTTCAGTAAAAATAAAGTCATTTAATATTATGTCATCCTTGCATTTCTGCAACTTTTAACTTACAGGGACAAAGGCAGTGACCGGCTTACTATCTTGATGTTTGGAGATTATTGAGTGATTCACCTGACTCCTATTCACTTCTTTACATGTGTACACCATGACTTAAAAAAAAAAATAGATCTCATTCACAAAAGAGTGGTCCATAGGCTATACTTTCATTATTTTTACTCTCTTCTGTTTATGTAGCTATTCATACATTTCCTCACATAATTACATTTTTGAATTGTGAAAAATACCATTCAGTTTAAATAGAGGTGCTTCTCTTCCCTTAGTTCCCAGATTCAACCTATTTCTTTGTTGGCATGATTTTCTACTGAGGTTTCTCATTTCATTGGCAAGAATCTTGCTGATTAGAAAAAGAGGCTTTGTATCTGGATGTGGGGGGTTGATAGTGGGAACTTAACAATACAGAAAGATGCTCTTACCATTTATCATTATCTTTAGTCAAATGGATGTAGTTAATGTGAAATTTTCATTATTTCACTTGTGAAAATGCAAGTTTCAGGACTTTCTGGTTTTCACCCTGAGCACCTTGTTACTTGAACATCAAGACAACCAATAAAAAAGTCATGTATTTTTGCTGGGTGACCAAAACATGAGAGAATAGACAGCTGGAACCTACAGGTGTGAGAAATCTTTGTGAATACAAGACAGTGCCATTATGAAAGGGATAAATATCACTTTATTAGGGCCCCTTGTATAATAGCTTCCAAACTCTGGTCAAATTTTTGATTGTTTTAAGAAAAAGTGTGTATGACACTATAATCATTAATAGAGTGCCCTACACATCTTTAGTATGAAATGTATTCACAGGAGTTTAGTGTCACAGCAATCTAGTTTTTAGTCACACCTATATGAAATACATTTACACTGATAGTTTAGGCTGCAGCCATAAAACATGTGATTAGAAGAACCAAAGCACCCTTAGATTTAGGTAAATGTTGTTTTGTTTCCAAATCCATATTTCCTTTTCCTCCCAAAGAAACACAATCCAGTTGTATTGAACAGTTCCATAAGCAAGTAGTACAAGTAAATTTAAGCAAAGAAATTTAAAAAAAAACTATTGTTGAGGTCTATAGTTCACACTTACATTATCCTCAACTTTGAATTTGTGATATGTAACTATTTTACACCTCAAACATTACACTGTGCAAATAACAGTGGAAATATTTTATTAGGAAATTAGTCCAGCACTTTCCCACAAATCATTATAAGTGTACACTTTTATAACTTAACTATCGAAATTTATCATGCTTTAAAATACTTAGAAAGCAGGGGTATGCCCCTTTAAGATATCTATCTAATAGTGCACGTTTGTTAACCCAGGGAAGGAACTAGAAGGTAATCTAAATGAAATCCTTAAGAAACAAAGCTTATTGGATATATTACCTAGTCTATTTCTGGATCGCGATTCTCCCGCCCTCTCCGAGTTATCTCACTGTCAGATAAGAAAATGGAACAGGATCGATGAAGAGATATGCTCCCAGTCTGACTTTTCGATTTTTTGTTCAAGCCCAAAGGAGCAAAGGGCATCGAGTTAGGGCTCCCTTCCAAGCATGCTTGCAGGAGAGCGAATCTCTGCTTGCCTTTGGTTTTCGAGCTCATCCCGGCTGCACCAGGGATCAGGTCCCGCTGACCGCAGCCCACCTCGCTCCGCAACCTCCACACCCACATGAAACCACCAGTGTGGCAGTCAGGCAGCACACGTTATTCTATGCACAAAACCGAAGAAGCCTCGGAATAGAAACTAATCGTGAGCCCAGAGCAGAATTGGAGGTGGCTGACTAACGTGATAGCCTTTCTGCGGTTATACCATCACTAGTTAGTCCCTACACCTCTCGCACCCTGACCGCACATCTGTGCCCTAAAACCTGCCTCCCTTCGGGAGACAGACGTGCGTGCACACAGACAAACTCTCACGCACACCCACATCACCTCTGCCCGCCTGCCCTCCCCACCCCGGGCAGGACTGTAGGGACTGGTCCGAGGTCTGCCTCAACTTTCCCTGCTGCGTGTGCCCCACGCGGTGCCTCAGCCTCCACGCCCTCGCTGGCCTCCCTCCAGAGGTGCCCGTCCTCCCCTGGGCCCCTTACCTCGCGTCGACAACTCCTGGCAGCGACTGGAGCTGACCGAGGTGGCGGCGGCGGCGGCTGAGCCTGCACCGGGCTCTCGCTCATGGTTGGTCCTCCTCATCCGACACAAAAGATGTAGCTTGCTGGCTTTGTCTTTTTCAAATCCAAGGGAGAACTTATTTTGCCCCCGAAATGGCCAACTTGTGCGCTCCGCTTCCTGTCACAATGCCCCCTGCACCCGCCCCCTCCCGATTGAGCGCTGGACCACTGCCCGGTGGCCGAGCATCCAGGCCTCCAAGTCAGTGGGGAGTGGGAAAAGGGAGGGTGGGGAGGAGAAGAAAAGGAGGAGGTTGGGAAAAAGGGGACCCAGTGGTCTTCCACGAAGGGGAGGGGAGTAGTTCGCAGATGAGTACCTCTCCTCCGCCGCCGCCTAATAGGCAAACCCACTTCACAGGCGCGACAGCAACTTTCCTTCACCTTGGCCAGGCTGGAACCGTAGCATCTAATTGGGACTCTAGGCAGAGGCACGGACCTTCTGGCATTCTCTCCTTCTGGTTCCCTCGCTCTCCTTTCCTCCCTCTCTCGTTCTCCCTTCCCCCTCCCCCCTCCCTTTATAGGGGTGTATCTGCAGAGTCTTTAGTGAGCCAGGGTACCTAGGCAAGAGGATTACTATATGGAAAGCCAGGGCGATTTTGCAGGCAGCTTCGCCTTACTGTTTGAAATCCTTAAGCAATACATGCAATGCTTGGTGATTTCGGAAGGGTGGGTGAAGGGGCTCTAACTTTGAAGACCTGCTATAGCTCTTAGCCTGCGGGAGAGCAGGGACTAATAGTCCTGAAAGAACTCTCCTGTCGTCCGGAAGCAAGGGACTGACCGCAGCTTGGAGGAGAAAGGGAGAGCGGGAGCAGAAAGGGACGAGCCAGCCTAGGAGGCCGGTGTGCAGCTCTGCCCCACACACCGCTCAACTGCACAGTGCGAGCCCCTGGAGAGGGACTGTGCAGAGCAATCTCTGGGTCAGGAGGGAGGGAGACGCTCCTGTTTCCTAGCAACCCTCATCAATCTTCTGGGGATAGCTCCCTCTGAAGGAATTCGATTGGACGGCCCCTGGAGGGAGGCCACGCCCCTTTAAGAATGCTGGGCTGCTGCTTTTTCGCATTCTTCCAAATTTCTTGGGTGGAATAAGATTAGAAGACAGTGCTGAATTATTTTCTTTCTTATCCTCTTATGCTGCCACACCGCCCCCAAAACAGCGACCCTCCCTCCCACCCCCACTTTAATCTTGTAGACCTACTGGTGGTTAACAGACGCTGTCAACGTTCTTTACAGAATCCCTTCTTTCTTCATAAAATTAAATAAATAAACGCAGTCCTTAAATCGGTGACGTAGGCACAAAAGAGAAAAAGGCACAGGGAAATAGCTTTAATAGGTTTCGAGCTGCAGATAAAATCCTAAAGGTAAAATCCAGGTATATATCTATGTTTAGAAGCATATTGTGTTTCATTTCAAAATCAAAACTTCACTGTCATTAATTTTTTCCACCCTGATATACTAACTTTGTGTTAACCAAAGCCTGAATTATTTGTTGCCAGAGACAATCAAGCTTAATGCTTTAATACTACACTTATTCTTTAATATTTAAAGTTAAGTTGCTTAACAATTACCTTCATTTATAACCTAGCCAGAAACATTTACACCACAGAAACAGTTCTACCACTGATTCTTTTAGAAGACATGTGGACAAATATATATTCTATGTGAATGCACTAAAACCAGAAACTCGAGTATATTGAACATCAAAATCTTATTAAACAGTGAAAATCTGAAAGTGCTAGAAGCTCCTCTTTCAACAACAGTCTTCCTGGGATGCAATAACATTGTCAAAATAAAAGCAAAATCAGTTTTCCTTTGTATTTCAATACTGTTCTCTAACATGTAATGCTCACCACAAACACACCAGGCTTTCATGAAAGCCTCTGCCCAGTGGACAACTGTACACGAAGGAAAATGATACAACCTGGGAAGATGAAGGCTGCCACCGCTTCAGATACTCACGAAGCCATGTTGGCAGCTTTGGGTTCTTTCAGAATGTTCTGGGAGGTTTCTTTTTGCTCTTCCACAGCTTTTATCAGAGTCAGGTGAGACTAGGAAAAAGTAAATGAGCTCTGGTGTTTTCATCTCATTAAAAAAGCTGTGTTTGCACAAAAGCAAGGAGTGATGTGTGGGCCCAGCAGCATGCTCGTATCCTGTCACACCAAGGATGAGGATGTGTAGAATCCGACTACGGAAGCACATTATCAGACTGTTACCAGATTTGGCCTTCTGGTGCATTTTCTCTACTCATTCAAAGAAAAGATGAAGATAAGAGCTATTCATCCAGGAAGTGTATAGCCTGGATTTAAATAATTAATGTTCATCACTCCTTACTGTGTCTCAATTTCATCATCTGTAAAGTGGGAATAATTGTTTATCCTTTAGAGTTATTTTGATGATTAGTAAGTATCATGTAAACAACATCAAAGTCTTTATTACTACTATTAGTTTCTAATTACCCAATAGTGTTTTCATTATTGATACATGTATTTAATTGAAGGTAATTAATCTTGGACTTTAATTCCTTCCTTTGCATTTAATTTTAGTTCATCATTAACTGGAAACATAGGTTTAACATGTACATTTGTTGCTCACGTGTACACGGATGTTTACATAAATTCACATTTATCTTTGTCAGACGTTTTCAAGTTTGAACAGCTAGGGCATCTTAATTTTTAGTAGTTTAATCAAATTGTATTAGCCCATATTCATATTTATTTGTATAATTAATTGATATTTCTTCTAAGGGAGCTTTATAGTTAGTGCCCTCACTTTATAATGGTATAATGCTGTTTTAGTGCTTTTCATAAAGCAGGCCATCCTTCATTGAGAGTTGCTGTGCTGTTGCCATTAATTCCAAATAAAATGCCTTACTTGTCCCCATTCTGAGTTCAGGCTCGCTATCATTTCCTTTGGAACAAATCTCCACTGGCTAAATTCCGAAATCAGTTCTTTGCTGATTTCTCTGACCAATCTCCATTTGTACTTATTTTTCTCATGTGTAGAGTGATCAGGCCTTTTGTCAGGAATAGTTCTGATTTACATTGTCTGGTTGTATTCACAGTGCTCATTTGATTTCTCCAAGGTGTCGGTTTTGTGCATTAAAATATGTGATCATCTGAACCTTCTAATCATCTGACCAGTATCTCTTGCTGACCATTCCTAGCTCTAACTACAACAAGTTCCTCTGCTTCACTCTTTTTCCAGGAGAGAAATGATCATTTATATGGGCCTAATATGTCTAATATGTAACACATACATTAATTTTATCTTTAATTTATTTATAATTATCCTCTTGTGACTTTTCAACTATTTTTTGAAATGTTTTCCCTTAAATCATCTGTGAAATCAAACTTAAATTTATAATATACATAATATAAAAATAAAAATATTCTGGTCTTAATTTCAGAGAAGCTTTAAGGCAAGAGGGCCAACTAGTCCATATTCCAAAGTGAGAATTGCCAGATCTCTGTGATGAATTTGAGTGACGTTATCTTTAAGCTCAGTGAATTATGCAAGAGTGAAAGTCCTAGATGCTGAGAGAGGTAGGAAGTGGGGGCTTAGAGGGTTTTTGCTGTGCCCCAAGTATTCAGGACCAGGAAGGGGTGTGTGTGCCCTTTCCTCATTTCCACTGAAGTGCGGGGTGCTGCCGCTACCAGAAAGCATTGCTAAGTTCCCCTGGCATTAAGTGGATGTAGGCTATAGTGGGTGCTTGCTAATTCACAGCTTGTGTACATATCACAGAGTGTGGGAATGCTCTGTGTCTCTGCTCCCCAGGGGCAGGAAGAAGCCTGAAGTTAAAGATAAGAACCTCAGAGCTGAGGTGGGATAGCAATTGTCCAGTCAGGAAAGTGCCACCAGAGTCAGGACAGTCTTCAAAGAGCAGGCATTTAAGAGGCAAGAGCAATGTGGAGACATCTGAAAAAACAGAGGTCTGAGCTTGGTGGGTAACTGTGGTTTCACCTGTGGCAGGTAAAAGTTGCTGGCTTCCTATGTGTTGTATGTAGGGGTGTGAGTACAGAACAGATGCATTTTCCCTTATTCTAAGAAGAAAGGCTTAGAGGAGAAATTTTGGATCCCCAGAGGGTAAGGAAGGGCTCAGGGCTTCCGGAACTGTGCAGGGTGTGTTCTGGACAAGGCATAGAGCTGAAGGGTGCTAACGCATGGCTTGGCTGGGGCTCTGGTACCCACTCACAGCAGCCGGGTGGGAGGGTGCCTTTTAGTAATTCATCAGAGCGGAGAGGACACTTTTTAAATTCACTTTCAGGGAACTAGCAATTAGTGATCCCAGGACCCAAAGGTCATGAAAAAAATGACTAAATTGGGATCAGGATCAACTTTCAAAACCATTAAGCTCAGGAAAATGTAATACCCAATCAGTACTGATCAAATAGCCTTTTTCTTGTCCCTGCATATCTCTGACCTCCACAACTTGCAGTGGCCAAAAGCTCTACTTGCTGCTGAGGGCCAGGGAGAATGAGGATGAGGAGCTGGGTGAGCAGAGAAGGACCTGCCACTCCCACCCAGGTCTCCCACCTGCTGTCCAGGTTCCAGAGGGAAGAAGCTGTAATTTACAGGGGCAATGGAGGCTTCATCATTTCTTTACATTGTACCCAATCCTTTCTCTCCTCCCCACGCCTTCTCTGTATATGTGTGTATTTGAGCTACAATGGAGGAAGGGATTTTTATCTGGGAACAATTTAAAAGACACTGGCTTTGAATTACATCCAAGGGGATGGGAAAGAGCAATAAACTCTTGTCCTGCATATTGCACAGTTACAACTGAATTAAGTTTGGTTCTAAACTTGAATGTTCAAATAGAAAATTACCTATCACTAGAAGACAGCTTTTGAGGAAGAATTTAGTTCTCAGTCATTGAAATAAATACCAGTAAAGACAAATAAAATATAAAAAGTAAAAAGTAGGGGCCTTCCTGTTGACTCAGGAGTTAACTTCCTCTTCTATCTCACCTGTTGCTCCCTTGAGCAGTATATTTCAGTAGATCAGGCTGTTTTGGTCCGTCTCTGGTGAATCCTCTCATTCCCCATACCTCTGGCCTACATCTCAGTTCTTTTATGCTTACGTAAGTACAAATACATCTTCAAAAATAGTACTAGAACTTGTAAGTTCTGTGAAAATACTCATCACAAGAAATTGACATACTTCTTTATTTGTCTTCCCCTTTAGACTGGAAGTTTTATGAGGAAAGCCCTTTAGCTATTGTACGTGCCATCATTCCTGGTACATATTAAAATGATGTGGGTATGTTTGGGGGGGGGTGGGAGGAGAAGACTTGCTCAGTAGACATTTGCTGAGTGAATGAATTAACCTTTAAAGATGAAAAGACCCTATTGATCTACACTTTATTGTGAGCCAGCTAACTTCTGGATATAGCATACATTGCCAGTTGTCTAAGATGCAGGAGTTTGGCGTGTTATTCTGGTTAGCACTTCATGTGGGGAGGGGATGTTGGTTCTACACTTTTCTCTCTCCAGTGCCTGAAACTTCCTGACATGTTGGAGGGCTTAGTAGTTATCTGAAGAATGAAACAATGAATATTCTAAGACTTTCCAAGGGGTTTTCTCAATTCTGTGTCTTCATAAAAAACAATCATCTTGTTTTTAGAAATTTTAAAGATTTTTTTTTTGGGGGGAGGTTGGGATAAATGGGATCTGACAAAGGTTATGAGCATTGTAGAAGAATTAAGGCTTCTGGGCACAGCCATTGCTTGACAGAATTAGTTTATCCACATTATTCATGGTAGAATCACAGCAATTTATCTGGATATGTGATGCTATTCTGAATAAATATGCATAG